GCTAGTTGGGTGACATAGCTATTATAATATAGTATAGGTAATGTAATACTTTTAAGTTTTAGTGTATATTATACAGTATACGTATTCTGACCATACTATTACCTATATGCAATATTTTAATATCACATGTTTATCTTCTCAGAATTACCATTGTTCATTTAAACATTAACTATTCTGATTGGTTTTTGACATTTGTTGTTAATACATGTAATGAGTACTTACATTTGAATGACAACTTCTACTGACACGTGTTTTATCTGTGTTATAACAATACAAATTCATCATAGATGTCAACCCTCATGTTGTTGTGAATAGTGAATTATTTTATTTTTATTACAAAACCAAGACCCAAAAGAAAGAGAATAATAATATTTTTCTTTAATATTATTATAATAATATAATGTATTAGTAGATAACAATAATCAAAAGTTACAAATAATTTTTTAGACGTAAAGGGTGACGTCTATAGACAGACCGTTCAAAATTGTTTTTCATAACATATACTATAAGGATTAATGATCAAATTAAAAATTAAAGCAGATAGTGAGTCTCATCCTGGTCAATATTAGAAATGTATCAACTCTCCTACGTTATTTTTATAATATAATATGTCACAAAAAATTATAGACTTTATATCCAAAAAATAGACACCTCAAGTTTTTTAATAACTATGTTTATATTGTTATAAAAATCAAGTCAAAATGTAAGTTTAATTTGAAAATTTTATTTAATAATTGATTTTTTAAATGAAATTAAAACGTATGTTATATATATATATATATATATATATATATATAGGTTAGGTTATTATAGTTAAAACTAAATTTAGTTTAGTTCTTTTTTTAAATATTTATGTAAGTTATATATGTCATACAGTTTTTTTTTTATTAACAATTTGAAATGACATCATTCTATAGAACAATCGGTGTTAATCGCTCAATTTTTTTTTATTTCATATAGGAAATTGTTTAGTACTGCCCAGTAAAATCTCAAATTTTTACTAACAAATGATTTATTTTTAGGTGGGAATTCTAAAGACTTAGGTAAAATTGATGGTATCGATCAGTGGAAAAGTTTAACTGATTCTTTGGAACAAGTAAGATCAAATGTTTTAATCAATATAGATGAGAAAAGTGGAGAGGAAGCCTTAATTTTCAACCAATGGAAAATTGTGAAAAGTAAAAAATATTTATACTTTAGTATTGTATCTAGTTGATATGATACGATACTGTTAAATTTTAAAGTTTTAACCTCATTTATAATATTCTTGTTTGATGAATTTGAACTTTTCGATTACTTTAAATCGTAGATAAGTCATATTCTAAAAACACTTTGCTATCATTTTTAATTTTTAGGGCTAGTTGTACCATCTCTAATTAAAGTTAACCGGAAGTTAATCGGCCGAATTYGCACGGTTAAATACCTGTTATCAGCTGATTAAGCATAATCGAAGTTTAACTTAAACTGGCCCTTAATTTTCTAGCTATTTACGTTACTAATATTAGTATCTATGTGAAGTGTAATCATTATTGAAAATTTCTTTCTATGTGCATCGTGCATGTACTTATKAAAATGCTATGCACCTTTAACCGCTTAACTTAACTTCTGTCACGCTTCTAACTTGCACAGTTACTCCTAAGTATAGTCCATAGACATATACAGACCCAAGTGTTTTAAATAGATTTTAGTGATTTTATACAATCATAACCGGCCAACCTAACTAATTATTAACAACTTGTTTATCACRTGTTCTGTCAGGTAACCGTACAAGTAACATGGTTTTCAACCTGAAGTACGGCGGGGATCCTGGTAACACAGGACCAGAGTATAATATGTCAAGTGTAGTGGCGAGTGTCGTCGGTACTCGTCTATCAGAAATCAACTGTTTGACCAAGAACGGCTGCATGAACGCGTCGACAGCGCGAAACTTGTTCAACGTTACCCGTTCATTGGCCAAAGTCGACGGTCAAACGTGCGCAGAGCGCATATCCAGCCCAAATCCAGACCAACGGTATGAATGTTTTGACAGCTACTGTTTCTTCGACACCCTCCAAGACCCCTGCGAGTATCGAAATGTGGCTCAACAGAACCCCCAGGTGCTRAACACGACAATCYTCATACTGGAACAGTTCAAAAAGGAAATGACAATGCAAGCACCTAAGCCGATAACTGATCCCAACGCGGATCCTCGTCGATTTTCCGGTTATTGGGAGCATTGGCTGGAACCCTTTGATAAAGCTTAAATATAACTTCTGTTACCATGTGTTATTAATGTAATATTATGCTGTTTTCAATAATTGTGTAATCGTAACATAAACAATTATATATAATATTGTAATAGTTTAAATTTTACTATAGAAATATAAAAATATTTTTTATATGTATATTGCTTCAATTTAACGTTAACAAGTTTTATTTTACTTGCTGACTAATCAACCACACATTTAATTCCCTATTACAAATGTCATAGAAGTATAATTTTAACTGCTGACATAATAATTTGTAACGATTAGTGAAGAATAATCGACACATAGGTAGACAATAGACATAATATATCAATATATAAACATCATATATTGGTAAACAGTCAACTTATGTACATTTATTTGTGATCAATCATAATTAACTAACCACATAAATAGCACTCCAATTCAAACATACAAAAGTAATAGGTTAAACATATAAAATTAAAAATATTACATGTGATAAAAAATACGCATTCAATTCAATTATTTATTTACATAAGAATCCACGCCTTAATGATTTTGTGATAAATAACATACTGAAATATACAAATTTGAAATTAATAAAAGAAACAATATCTAATCGTGCTCATAATTTTAATATAATGTCGAACAATCTTTTATGTATTTATTTATTTATTATGATTTAAACAGTCATGTCCAGCTACAATAATTATAAGTATGTGAAAACAAAAAATAACTATATACAGTCCATATATCTTACCTACTAGTAAATTTAATTAAAACTGATTTGGTCTAAAACCAAATTCATGTAATACAAATTTAATATACAATAWWTTATTATACATAAATGCACATATTCCTGCAAAAATATTCAATTTTCTAGAATCAATGGCCAGCCAAATTGTTAAGTTTCAGACAATTCTTATTAGAAGTTAAATATAAGTTCGTTTTTGATGAWTCAAAAAATAATAAAGTAGACACAGTTATGAACAATATCACAGCATTTTGCCTAAAACTTAATTAAAATTAAGAATCAAACATCGAAACGTTACCATACACTTAGTTGGAATGATCATAAATTATAAATAGAACATGTTTTTGACTGTCACAATTTACATCTTAAATTTAATATATTTTATTTAACTTCACTTTTGAGCATAATGCATATTGTTAATAGGAGTTCCAAATACGGAAAATAAAACAAAGGTAGTTGAATTTTTTTTAAAGCTAAATTTTTAATAAACAACAATAATTTTTCTACAAATTTTTACATATTGATGATTGTTTTAATTKGTTGTTTTTTAAAAAGAGATAAATTGTCTCAAACATGTTCTATGTAAAAAATCAAAAATGAATTACAAATTAATGCAATTCAATACAATTTAATATTTGTTAAAAAATAACAAATATTTTCTAAGACTAAAATTAAAATTACTAAGCATAACAAATATTTAGATTGAAAATTATAAATACTATAATTAAAACTAAACGATTCAAGTGCATTTTAATTAAAATAAGTAAAATGCTACAAAGTAAATTTAATTATATATYAATGCATATGATTTTAAAATTTGATAATTCAAAAATCAATTTGTTGGAAGTTCAAAGTATTATGTTGTATAATATAGATTCTTTACTAATGATTAAGAGGACACCCGCATGTGTTTTCTCTGTCTTAAGGCTGTACTTACGTCCTACACTGAAAACAGTGAGAACGTATTTCAGTTATTTGATCCGATTGTCAACGGTGTCGGATACTCGGGCGACATATTATGTAGTTAAGGTAATCTCCTACACTGTACAGTATACAAGCATGTCGTCCGACACCGGACGACTGYGCTAATTTTATCCCATGATGGGGACCTGTTGTAAATATTTTATTTCAGTTGTCATTAAACGATCATTTGTTCAAGTGCTAATAAAAAATGAATGACTCCGATGGTGATATTGCTCTTTGATTTCTGACTGAAACAGTTAGGCCATTAAAAACAAAAAGTGGGTGCACGAAWTTAATAGGGAAARGAAAGACGGTGAATACTTTAGTATCTGTCTGCCCCTTCATGATTATCCAGACAAATTCTTTAACTACTTTAGGATGAATTTGGACACGTTTAACTATATATCGGAGGCAATTCAAGATGATATAAGGAAACAGAGCAACTTTCGGGAAGTTGTATCTCCAACAGTAAAACTGTCAATAACGTTGAGGTAAGTTTAATTTTCTAGTATAGACTCTGGCTTGAATAGTATTCCGAATACTTTCTTCGAAGTATTTAATAAGTATTTTGAATACTTTTTTAACGTTATACCACATTTTCAAAATAAAATAGTAGGTTTAGACTACAGTATCTTTAGTGGCATGTGATCTTGTGTAAGTAGATAACTTTTTTTTTTTTTTATTAAATAAATTTCTTTATAAGATACAAATACATGATGTAAATATATACATTGATAAAGAATATATCTACTCCTGTAAGCCTAGGCTTGTGGTGTAGAGCGTTAGCGAATAATCGTACATAATTTATAAGAAAAATTAAATTAAAATAATATTATACACAATTATAAAATAATATATGTGAACAGACCAGTTATTGAACACCCTCCAGTAATTGAACAACGTCAACAAATGCTTTAAAATTAAGAAAACTAGATATCTTATTTAATAAATAATTTTTGTTTTCAATATTAGACATAGTGGTCATACTGTATAACCAAGATTTAATAGTTAAGATGTGATAACAAAAAAATGATAAATATACAAAATCACTGTAATCAAATTTTCGTGTGTTTGGACCAAATTTKWTTAAGTAAGTACTCTAAATTACTTTCTGTGGGAACTGAATAACTAATAGAATATTCATTGTATATGGTTATTATTTGTTTGGATATGTTAAATATCTAATTTTGTATCATTATTCTATTATTGCTATTCTATTATTTCTATTATTTGCTCTTCCATTATCACTAGTTATGTATGTGTTCAATTACTAGTTACTAAAATTTAACAAAACCTAGTAATTGAACACATGTTCAATWATTGGTATTGCTTAAATATAATTTAATCCAGTGATTGAACAGGTATATTAATATTAAAAAAAATTATAGTACACATTTTTTATTGCATTAGTTACCTCGATACCTACCTAATAATA